GATAGCTTCAACGATGATTTTTATACACAGGAAAAATGCAGAAGTAGGTACTCAATTTGATATATTAAATATAGAATATTGAGTAAGATTTGTAATAAATCTTTACACTTTCTATTCTAAAATAGGGTCAAAATAAAATCATATTTTAAAAGTTTTACTTTTAACTCAGAGGTTTTTTGAGTTTTAGTTTTGGTCAGGTTAAATAAAAGTAAAAATAACCATTTTTAATATGATAAATGTTTGATATGCATTTCTTTCGGTTATAGTTGTAGCTATAGCTTTTGAAAACGGTTTGCCATATTTTTCCTAAATTCCTGATCCCGATACAGAGTGCTCGCAAAACTTTATCGTTGCCCCATTCACATTTGTATTCCCTTTATTTTCGGTTGCCTCTGTTTTGCTTTTTTATGCTTCAGCTTCCGTAAAAGGTAGCAAAGTATTTAAGCGTTACAGATTTATATATATGTAGTTCGCTGTTTTTTTTTGTGCTGCGACAACATTTTCAACATTTAGATTAAAAAAATATTGATGCTGGTCGTCGTCATCGTGGGGACAGGTTGTTATCGTTGTTGTTGCTGTTGTCTGGGTCTGTCGTCATCAGTTTATGTTGTCATCGCTTTAAATTCGCCAGTCGGCAAATAATACTCAATACCCGATCCGCGATATAAAAGTACGCACATTTGTTCACATACCTATATATTTAAATATTCATAAGGTGTGCACTTTGGTTTTGTCGCAATTTATTTATTTATGTTTGATGTGATTTCTTTTTGTATTTATAACTTATTTGTATTTTATTGGGTGAGGCGTGGGGCACATTGACAACTATTTAACACGTGTCCAGCAAGTTCTTTGGTTACAAATCACTTGTGACAAGTTATGGAGTGGCATAAAATATTATATCATCCGTTGATGGGCATCGCAGGGATTGTTTCGTTTTGCGGGCTTAGATCAAAAACCTTTTTATTTGTGCCTTTCATAAATCACCGTTGAGGAAGGGATTGACATTCCAGTTATCGGTTGTTTATGGCTTGTGTTTGAAAAATAAAGGCTTTACCAGTTGAAAATGTTGGAATTCGGTCCCAAAAGGATTACCAAAGCTAATCTGTCATTTCTGGGGTTTCCTTAGACGAGATTTCGCACAGCGATATGCTAACAAGGCATGTCAAAATGGAAGTGTCAAAATGAGAAGTTAAGATCACAAATATATTAACAATTTATTTTATTAATATTTAGGTAGGGCTATATTATAGTGTGACTCACATATTATAATTCCCAAACACCTAAATGATAAGATAGTTTCTGGCTTTTTAAGGAAACTCACAAGAATAGTTAGAAATCTTTATATATCTAAGAACTTAATTATATAGGGGAGAGTGGGGGAATTTCGTCAGCATTTTTCCCCAGAAATTTCCCCAGACCGTACTTTTTTAGAAATAATTATTTTTCTTCCGAAATTAGGCGCGAAGTTAAAAATCACTGACGCAGAAATGCACATTATAGCACTGTGTATTATATAAAAAATCGTGTATATTATTCCTTTTGAATTGTGGCATACCGAAAAAATTTCGTCGAGAACTAAATGTAGCTTTTGAACTGTTAAAACACATTTAATATTATAGCTTAATTATCTTGGCCTTCTGTGCAAAACAAATGCATTGGTTGTGTCTGGCCGTCATGAAGGACCAAAACAAAAAAATTATATATTTTTACGACTTATGGATTCCGAGATATTGCAGGTGACGAAATTGCCCCTGTGACGAAATTCCCCCACTCTCCCCTAATCTTTAACAAAGTATTTTCTCTAGGGGAGAAATGTTCAATCAATAAGATTTTCATCCAAGTTCGGACGGAAATTAATTGGGTAAGCCACATCAATGTCTATGGGGCCAAAACCCAACGCTGATTGATGCCCATCTCTTAGTGGGCCAATTAAACAAGTCGTATGTCAAACGGACAGGCCGAAAGAACGTATCAATGAAACTGTCTGGGCCAAGAAAGGGAAAGTAAACAGAAAAGGACATGGAAGCGTGTCAACAAGATGTTTAAACACGAATTAGGCAACATAAAAAAGGATTTACAAATGTTATGTTCGATGGGAAAGCAAACATGCAACTCGGGGGGAAATAAAAGCTCAAAGGAGCTGGAAAAAAATCTAGCATTGGTTCTGGGGCACCTAAACAGGATTACCCGAAAAAGATTGATAGATCCCACTCGACAGTGGAACTCATGTGTTGTTTGCTCATTTCGGTTTGGTTTCGGGTGAAAAAGAAAACGAAATTGAGTTATTGGCCGGGGTATTTGCTGACCATTTTGATTGATAAGCTAAGAACCAAAATAAATAAAATAAAAAAGGGAAATAAATAAATTGCAAGATTTACAAGAAAACTTAAATAAAATAAATGGTGGACTCTATAAATATCTACAAAATCTCTCTTAGAAATTTACTTTTTCTTTAAATTTCTGTAATTTTTAAATTTCTGTCATTTTTAAATTAAACAAATATTTGTATTTAATTTCCAGGCTCTGTGCGGCGTTGTCTTCCAAGTTCCTACCATGTCCGGCGATAAGTTGCGCATCAGTACCATGCAGGAGATTATTAAACCGAACACGGTGAAGCGGATCCAGGGATACGGGTTGCCATTTCCCAAGGACACGACACGCAAGGGCGATCTCCTGGTGGCCTTTGACATCCAGTTTCCGGAGAAGTTGACTGCCGCCCAGAAGGAGGTGCTCAGGGACATGTTATGAGGGATCGGGTTCAAATCCACCCGCCCAGTGACGACTCAGACTCACACACAGTCCGCTCTAAAAATCGGACTTAGTCATCCATACAAACAACGCACTAAAACCAAACCGAATTCATCTATCCAATCAATGTCCTATTCATTTCTTTTAACACCCCCCATTTTGCTTGTTTTTGTGTTCAGTGAAACATTTGCACATTTCTTACAGGAAATCTTTCTTAACAATCGGTTTTGCTCATCTACGCCACGAACATGTTTGCATAATATATACGTTGATCATAGTTATTATATCATTAATTCTTAATTTATTTGTCTAAATTAAAGCTACATTTAATAAAACTACACACACACACATACAGAAAACATGTGGAAGAAAAAACAAGCGAATGGTAAATGTGTTTTTTTTTTTTTTAAGGTGCTAGGAAAAGTTACTCCTTAAAAAGTAAATATATTCTTTTTGACAAGACATTATCTGCAGAGTCATGTTTCTGCAATTGTAAAGTTTTCAGGGAGACTGTGAAAGGAAAAGTGAAATTTTCGTTTTGGTAATCGCAAAGCGTTTGGCTAATTAGCTGCCGTTTCCAGTCGGTCGCCCACCCCACTCCCAAAAAAAAAAAAAATAACACTCCCATGTCAAACGGAATGCTGCTCGTTAAGTCATTAAAATTGCATGAAGTCAAAACTTTATGGTCTGCAAAGTTTGCGTCAAAGCCGAACTAACCCAGAAAAAAGGAGGAAAATTCGAGAATGCCGAAAAAAAAATTAAAACGGGATAAAAGAATGGTAGGAAAGTTGGCTGGAAGAACGGGACCAACATCAAAGCTGGCAAATGGTAATTCGTTTAAAAAGAAAGCTAGCGACAGACGGGACTTAGACATCGACATAGACGCATTTCATTTGCAGACAATAAACAGGCAGCAACAACGACTCGAGGGCAAAGTAAATAAATTAAATTTCGGGCAACTCTTTGCATACAAAATAGCGATAGAGAAGGAATGCCCCAGCCTGGCCGAAAAAAGATTCAAAAGCTTGCTCAGATTTCAAACACATGCCACACCGACGAAGAAGAGGAGCTCGGGACGAGAAGGAGGAGCAGCCAGGATGAGCCAGGATGATGTGCAACGGATACGGGACGCAGTCCGCAGTCGAGTGTTCGATCTGCACGTGCCGGGAACAGGAGCACACCACGGACCTCTGCCGCTGACTCTGTAACAATTCGTTGCGATTTTCCACTTATTTGCTGGAAAACCAAAAAGAAATTGAGCTCAACACGTTGCAAAAAGTAGAAAAATATGTCTAAACACTTTTTGAAATTTTTACCTAAACGTGTTGGTGTAAACTTTTGAAGAAACCGTTTATAAAAATTCATACTTTAAAAGTTTTTACAAAAATTTATATTTTTAAGTTAAATAAATAAATATTTATTTTTTTTCAAATGTTGAAGACAAACCAGATAATTCAATTTTTCAAAAACAATTATATTGTAAGATATTTTGTAATGCAAAATGCATGATTTTTTTCCGTGTGGAGCACCCCAGAATTCTAAGGAAAACCTCAAAGTAGTAGGCCGAAGTTGAGGCTGCGGATGAGCCAGCAAGAAGTTGGCTGTGCCATTAGCATTGGAGGGCAGGAGGTGGAGGACGACGACGTGGAGGCCCAGTCAAAATCACAGAAAATCATCGACAACTGGCAAATGTGTGAATTGAATTTTCAAACAATTTTCCCCCGTGCAGGGAGTGCAGTCCTGGTGCTCGTCATCGGTTTTTGGATCCCATCCCGGTTTCAGTTTCTGTTCCTGGCGCTTTTCAATTCCGCTCCCGCCCCCTGATTTCCCCCGATTTCCCGCCGGCCAAAAGGGAACGTGCATGATTTGAGATTTGATTTGGACGGCGGCCACATTACAGTCGCTAAACCTCGGTTTCCGTCTCGTTGTCCTGCGTTCGAAGCCCTGGAAAGCGAATTTTAAACATTTCGCTCACGTCTCGGATGTTTATGCCATTAGCGTTTAAGTTGCCCATACAAAATGCGACTCGTAAATAAGCAAACGTTTCTTTGTTTTGGCTTCCTTTCTTGTTTTTCTTTGTTAAGGCAGATGTAATCGATGCCCAGGCTAGTTATTGAAAATGATCCGATTAAATTAAACGAAGATTTGCTGTAAAATGAACAATGAAATTTCTGTACTCCGTGAGAATCATGAATGTTGATTTCAGTTAAATATTTTACTAAATGTATAAGAGGCTTAGTTATTTTTACCTGCTTTTTAAACATCTTTAATTTATTATCAACAATTTCAATGCTCGTACAAAATTTGTTGTGTAGGTCTAAAAATATGCAAGACAAAAGCTCGTAGAAATAATTTATCTGCATTCTAAACAGCAAAAAGAGCAGGAACAGAAGGAGTTTTTAAAATCTGGATAAACCTCCTGATCCTGATTCAGATTACGATCTTGCTCCTGATTATAGGAAACCTCCTCCCGAACCATCCCCTTTGCGGATTGATAAAGTCTCCGAATGAGAGCTCCATATGGCTTCCGCGTCACCAGATGCGTAGTTGTTTCGTGTACTTCGTAGACACAATTTGTTTGAAGGCATACAAAAGGTTCCTCCATTTCCAGGACATTTTCCGATATCGAAATGCGAGGTGGAATGGTCAAAGGACTCTTCTTGCTCTTCTTGACCCTTTTTTTGGTTACCAATCTGATCTTATTCTTCTTGACGATACTTTTCTTGGGAAGACTGGGAATTTGGGTCTCTGTAATCGCAGCTTGGATCTCCTCCTCGAAAGATTCCTGACGCTTTGTCGCCTTTTTCTTCAAAGCCGTTACCATTTTGTACCGCTGTTGAATATTATTTATTTTCTTCACGGTTTGCTCAAAAGAAACCTTAACTTCTTCAACTTCCTGCAGAGTATCCCAAAGTTGGTTTTTCATCACTTTTTCACGAGAAAATTTTATTGCAAAATAATAAGAAAACACACACTAACTGAAACCGATGAGACGAGTTAATAAATCCAGGTGGAATGAAAATTCAGGGGGGGCTAGATTTTTGTTTTTCTCCCTGCTTTGTCATTGGGAAATTCCGATATGAAACGACAAGTACTAAACTGACCTTATCGCGACACAAAGGCTGATAAAACGTTTTAATGGGAAAACCGAGAACTCAACCCTATTTTTGCCACTATATATAGGGTGGAAAATAAAGCAAAACTTCAGTTCAGAATCAAACTTGCTTTTGGAAAAATGCCGCCACCACCTCACCAGCCGCCGCACAACCCACACCCACCAAAGGGTCCTGGCCATCCTGGAGATCATCACCCAGAACCACATCCACCCCACCATGGAGATCACAAGCCCCACCATGGACATCACTAAGCGGGGATTATAAATAGGATCAAAACTAAAAGGATTTTAAATACGTTGGATATATTTTTAAGGAGCTTCGACTCCAATAAAACCGATGGGGGTTTTTTTTAAATCAAGCCAAAGAAATAAAACAAATATTGAAATACTTAATTTTGTGATTTTTTACTATTATTTTTCAGGTAATCTAGAAAAGTGGCGTTCCGATATACATATATCTTCAAAATATAAACTAAATCCTCAAATACAATATACTTATATTCTTATCTATATGGCTCCTCCAGCAAATACTCATAAAATGAACAACTGCTATGGATCAACCAATTAACACGTAGAAAGAATTAACAGAACAATATAATTCTGAGTAATTTTAGGGGAATTCTACGAATACATATATTTGTATTAGCAGATTTCGATAAGGTTATCCCATCAGATTGCGAATCATTATCATGCACATGCCTTCAACAATCCACGGATAAGGTGTTCTACAGTTATTTTTATTTTATGATTATTTCTACACTTGTTTATAGGTATAAAACTTAATTACTGAATAAACACAACAAGTCAATAAGAAATATGTTTGTTTGCAAAAATATTCTATTTGAAGTAGGTTTAATTGTGTGTTGTGATTAGTGAATCACTTCCTGCCGACTTACTCATAAATGATCAATTTGTTTACTATTAATAATTTTTTAAAAACAAACGTTTGTTATTGTTGGCAAAAAAATACCTTCCATCTTCATAGTGGTTATACTGGGAAGTCCGACATACTTATGGGCTTAACAAGCCCACCTTATCTGAAACCCTGATAAGATTTCGACGCGCCCGAAGTATTTTATTTTTATATAAATGGTATGACATTAGCGGGAAAGTTTAGTACACAAAGGTAGTTAAACAAATAAAGATGCCGCCGCCACCACCGCACCACCATCACAACCCACCGCCCCATGGGCCACACCCACCATTCCAGACGCCGGTGCATCCAATTTACCACTTTCCAACTCCCGAGCACCAATGGGTTCCTGCAGGAAATAGTTCCGGATACAATCCACCGCCGCCGCATGGACCATACCCATACCCACCTAATCCAGGATATGTGGCGCCAGGACCTCCGATGCAACCACGATAAGGACTGAACTACAAACTGGATTTAAGAAATATAATGTGATCAAATAAAAACACCTCTAAACGAGGTAAAAAACTAGTGACGATCGCACCTTCAACGTACAAAAGTTCTGATATCAACTTTTGTGACGAAAAATAATTTTAGATGCGACTAAATAAGTACGCTATCTAAAATTTATTCATTCGGCACGCTACAACAAAAAACTTTCGTGTAGATATTAACTATTTGCTAAAGCGGGCCGAACGAGTAAATTTTAGATAGCGTACTTATTTAGTCGCATCTAAAATTATTTTTCGTCACAAAAGTTGATATCAGAACTTTTGTACGTTGAAGGTGCGATCGTCACTAGTTTTTTACCTCGTTTAGAGGTGTTTTTATTTGATATCAGAAGTTTTTGTTTGTTTACTTTTGCTCTCATAGGTGCTAATGTAAACATTTAAATTTAAATTGGTCAATCATAATTTTTAAACAATTGTATTTTAACGAATTAAGTTAAAAAGGCGTTGAAGTATTTCAAAATACCTTTTAAACGAGGTATAGCACATGTCTGTACCTTTAATAGTGTAGAACTTAAAAACTAACGAAATTTAGCTATTTTTAGCTTTTTTCCCGCTAAAGTAGCGGCTTTTTCCAAAAGTCGTAGAACAAAAGATTCCTATATGGAACTCTTAAGTGCAAATTTACTGATTCCATGACCCTAAAATACAGTTCGGATACCCTCCCACAAAATTCAATACTCAGGGAGCGTTAATTGTTCGAGCTGGCAAAAGTGTCTATTTTCGTATAAAAATAACTTTTAAACGTGACTTTTTACAGTAATGTGTTATATACCAAAATTTAAGGAATCTCAAGGGCTATACAGTTTAAAGTTGTAAGAAAAATCGTTAGAGCCGTTTTTGAGAAAATTAAAAAAAAGCTAAAAAAAAAGTTTAAACAAATTTTTTTTTGTTCATATCTTTTTAACTAATTCATTTACACAAATTGCATTTACAAGGCGTTTATAGCATTTAAAAATACCTTTCAAACGAGATGCAGCACAAGTCTGTAGCTTTAGTAGTATAGAAGTTACGGCTTTCCGAATTTTAGCTATTTATAGCTGTTTTCCCGCTAAACTAGCGGGTTTTTCCAAAAGTGGTAGAACAAAAGTTTTTTATATCGATGTGATGAACGTCATATCAAATTTTCAGAACTTAAAAAACATATTTTGGACAAGTGGACAAGTGGACAAGTGGACAAGTGGACAAGTGGACAAGTGGACAAGTGGACAAACTGACAAACAGAATTAAAATTTCATTTTGGGAAGAAGAAGAAAATCTTATTTTGGCTATAACTTTTGAACGTCGGATTTCGACAAATGACCCCTCATTCGACGGGTATTTTCAAAAGGAATACAACTAAAACATTGCGAGGGGGCATTTATCCCCACCGGCCCCAACAGCTCCAAATTTCGAAATTTTCACTTTTTCACTTTCACCGCTCTCTCCCCCAAGCCAATTGATTTTCTTAAAGTCTTGGTATGCAATCCTTTAAGTTTTTGCAATACCTTTCGATTGGTGTATTACTCATTACGATCGGACTATCACAGCAGATTTTCAATTTTGCGGCTATATAATAGTAGTCGCCTTCGCACACTCTCCTGGTGCGCTTCGTCACTACATGGACTGCCGTCCATAGTGATAATACAAAAGTACCAATATATTGTGATTAAACTACAAACCAAAACTGATTTTTAGTCAGTTACACAAAAAACGAATATTTTTAATATTTTTGATATTACTCGGAATTTATTTGATTATTCATTTAATTAACTTTCAGTTAATTTAAAGAACACTTGATTCATCGGAATCTTCGCTCAAAGACCCAACTCTTTACCGGAGATTGAATCGGTGCATAAATTGAGTTACTAAAAGTATACGGAGGTCCAATGTTAGATGGTCTGAAGACGATCGGCTTTTGAATTGGAATTTTCAAAATATTTGGAGGATGCGGCATCTTCACTTGGTGAACTGCAGACGAGTACTAAATGCATTACTGGAGGCTTTTACATATATATAGATGAATATGATGTCATAAGCATTTTCTGTCTTTATTTACACACCCAGAGTTCTCGCAATCGAGGGGAATAACCCTTGTAAATATTGAAATGGTTTTTTCTTTAAAAAATCCCCGAGGCTTATTTTGTAGTCGTTTTTTACGAAATGAGCAATCATTTGACATTAGGCTGATAACAGCTAAAGGTTATTGTAGGGTATTGAGACATTTAGTTCATACTAACCTAATATAAATGTATTCAATTTTTTATGAATAATCTGTTGCTGCCGAATAATCTTTTCATCATCTAAGTTTTAAAATATTTGGGTACATTTACAAAAGTTTTCTTTGTATAACCACATGACGGATAACTTTTAATCGATATTAATTAACTGAACTATTTTTTCCTATGCTGACATTGACACTAAATTTTTTTAACTGCTCACGAGAACTAACACAGAACTATTTTTTTTTGTATTTGGTTTATTTTAGGTATTTTTTTTTGTTTTGTTTTTTGACCACGTCATAATATTTTTGTGTAGACATTAAAATTAAATTTCTTAGTTTGATAAATAACTATCGGATCCACATCGCTTCAGTTCTTAGCGGGGGTGCATTGGAGGTCCAGGAGGGTGGTGATGGTGATCATGATGAGGAGGACCGTGGTGCGGGGGTCCATGGTGCGGGGGTCCGTGGTGCGGAGGTCCGTGGTGCGGAGGTCCGTGGTGCGGAGGTCCGTGATGCGGAGGTCCGTGATGGGGAGGTCCATGGTGCGGAGGACCATGGTGTGGTGGTCCGTGGTGATGGTCGTGGTGCGGTGGAGGAGACATCTTTGCTTGACGAACTTCAGTTGAGTACTGAACTTAACTGCTTTAGGCTTACCATTTATATGAAAAAAATAATATTATTTCAAGTACACCCACCCAGATAAGGTGGGCAGCTATGAGCATTTCGGAATTCCCAATATACCGCTATAAAGATAACCGACCTTCCCAAACTCGAAAGAGTCGTCATTCTAGTGGGGAATAACTCTCCCTATAAGTGAGTTATGTATGTTAACTATTTTTGGGTTATAATAAATCTCTCATCTCGTATGAAATCTCGAGTCATCGCAAATATTTTACTGGTCACCTTTTACTAAAAGAACAATCAATCAATCACTTGGTGTTGATAAATAGCTTATCGCATTAGTCAAATGTCTTGTATTCTTAACTGAACATATCTTTGATTTATTTGTTCTTACCCAAAATTCCATTTACTTGGCAAAAATGTTTTTGTTATTATTTTGAAATAGTGAAGTATTAGTAATCATACATAAATATCTGTTGTAAACCTTATCAATGGGTTGTTTGGACTCGAACCACGATAATGCATTGCAATCTGAGAGGCTTATCTTATGGATAGGAATTACGCATTTGGTCATAGAAGTTTTACTTAGTCAGACTTAAACTATGATTATTATGGTGATTTTAGGTGCTGTGTATGGGGTATACCATCTTTGAT